CGGGGCCCTATCCAAGTGTGTGGGGCCGGATAGAGGCAGTACAAGGCCCAATCCAGCCTGTGGACCAGACCTGCACCACTCACCTGGCCCGCAAAGCCAACAGTTTAAGCACTACTTGTGTAGGCCTTCACCTGTACAGGTTTCTTACAGTAATTTTTATCTTCCAAAACACTTGCAGAGGGAAAAGAATAAATGGGTTGATGTTGATATTCAGGCTGGTACAATATATTTTTTTATATTTATATTCATATTTTTCAGTGGTTAGTTTTACAACGATCACACATTTCTTTCCTTGGTTGATACAGAACAAACCCCGTAAAGGTCAATCCACTCAAACAAGAGCAAAAATGGAAATGACGAATAATGGGAAAGGTGATGCTCTTCACAGAAATTCATAATTAGCGGTCTCTATTAAAAAATATTAAATGAAAACACCATAATACAGTCTGAGTCACAGAATTACTTGTGCTGTTGCTATTCAAAAATCCAAGTGCCATTCACAGATCTAGTTCAGAAAGGGAGAGTTTACTGATTCTTTTACCTACACAAATTCAGAATTTCACTGGTGATGCAGTTTGAGCCACAATAGTAAAGCTAACACAGAACTTACTGATCGTTGTAAGAAGTTTGATATTCCAATTGACATTTTAAAACATATAATTGAAAGTCACCTATTTAACACAAAAATACTCCTGGAGACTGCTGTAAAATGGGATGACTCATGCCAGTACTCATGGTAAGACAATGTATAGCCATTTATTCTACTACTTTATACAATAGCTTTCTTTAAAAAAGATCATAAAATATAATTACCTGGTCCCTGAATCTGCAAGTACTTAGACGTAAGCTTATCTTTAAATAGGTATGAAGTCTTATTAATTTCAGTGGAACTAACCTGCAAAAAGTGAATGTGTGTGTCATAACCCAAAGGTATGATTTTGTGTGTGCTTCGGCACCAGAATTATCCCCGCCAGGCTGCAGCTTCATTGCACGGTGGAGTTTTCTGCTGCGGAGGAAAACTCCAGTGCAGGGACGAGTTTCCAGCCTATTTGCAGCTTCTTTTGCAGGGTGCATTGCTCAAGTTGCAAGAGAAATGCACGGTGCAAAAGAGTTCCCGCCACCCGCATGCAAATTTGTGTCCCGCTATTGGCTAGTCCTAAATTATTCCCATGTGGCAGCTAACGATTGGTCTGCTAGCCATATAAGAGGCTTTAGCGGGTTTCGCCCAAACCCAAGACGAATCCACCACCATCTCCTGGGGGCT